GAATATGAACCAGTGCAGAGATGAACAACGAAAAGGGGAAGTCTTTAGAAGGACTGGTGCGGAATAATGCTTCTATCCACCTCAAGCAAAATATTACGCTGCATCATCCTGGAGAGGCTAAAAAATGCTCTGGATTCAAAATTACGACCGCTGCAGGCTGGCTGGCTTCAGCAAGAACAAATCATGTGCGGATCAAACTGCAACGTTACGCGTCATAGAACAGAGCATAGAATGGTATTCAACTCTCTACCTCGACTGCCTCAACTTCAACTTTGAAAATGCCTTCGACCGAGGCGTTAATCGAGAAGTAATCTGGTATCTTTCATATACCTGCCCGGGCAGCATCGTCTCAACTACAGGCGGCACAGGCACAGATGAGGACGCCAAAGCCAGGGTCGGAAAGACAGCAAGACAGACCTTTATTAATCTGAGATCAGTATGGAGATCTACTGTGCTGCACTGCATTTAGCATAAAGCGTGAACAAGGTCCGGATCTTCAACACTAATGTCAATTCAGTGCTTCTATGCGATGGTTGAGACTTAGCGAGTCACGAAAAGCACTTCCAACAAACTACAGACACTCATCAACAGCTGCCACCTACGCTCACTCTGTACTGAAGATCAGATGGCCAGAATAATAAGAATAAGCAGTAAGGAACTCTGGCTGGCTGAGGACGAACCAACCAAGAACCCATCGCCCAACAGATATGCAGAAAGTGGAGATGGATTGGGCATACATTGAGAAGACCATTTGGGGACATCACACGCCAGACCAGGCCCTCAAGTGGAACCCAAAGGGGAAAAGACGAGTTGGGCATCCAATGGTGACATGGAGATAGTGTGGGGAAGAAATGAAGGCTTCTGGTCAGTTGTGGAGCCAGGTTAAAAAGACTGAAGAGAACAGAGTGAAATGGAGACGTGCTAGTGAAGCTCTATGTTTCACTAGGAACCCAAAGGATCGATTATGTATATATATATGTATATATATATATATATATATATGACCCCTAAAACGGATTGCACGAACGCCATAAATAATTTAAAATCCACTGTCGAAATCTCACAACTAAAGATCCGTTTACAAGGAGTAAACCAAAAGCAAAATCCTTCAGTTCATTACATTGTATTAGCCGTTATCAGCAATCCCCACCTCTAAAGACTGATGTTTCTGTGAAAATAACTCCCTACACGAGAGGTATGATGACAATGCTGATAGACAGACAGAATCAATGTAGAGCCTCACACACAAGTTCATGCCTTCAAGTTGCCAGAATTCACAGTATTACATAAAGAACAGATGGATAGAATAAGAGCAATATCAAAGAAGACGAAGATGTAGCAAGGAATAACCAATAGGAAGATCAAGGTTAGTGCGGTGTCAAATAGTGAATACATGTGTGGCGTTGTCACTGATTTTCAACAGTCTTCAACCACTTATTCCTATCTTCCCGGGGGCCCCAGCCAGGAAGTTGACATCTCTCTATATACGGCTCAAACTAACAGTAAGAGACTTCATCGACTGGTGCCAGATCTTAGTCTGGCCACCATGAATCCCCTTCCAACTTAATCCAACTTCTTTTAGCATTGTACATCGAGGTAAGCGGTGGCTCGCTCTACATACACAGTACACATCAGTCGATGAAGGTCCACAACCTCATCAATCGACTTGCTTATCTTCCCTAGTATCCTTCGTCTGATCTCAACGTTGCTTACACGGTTATTCCACTAGACGCGAACAATGCTTTAAAGACGTCTGTGATCAAAACCCTGCAATCGCTTCATGTCTCCTAATTTTTACGTCTATGTCTCACAGCCGTACAACAGGACAGGAGGGAATGCAGAGCAGTATACTTGTCATTTGATAAATAGTCGGATATTTCACTAGTCGGCGTTACAAATGACGCAAGTTGCTTAGTGGCAAACGGGCCAGCAGAGATTGCATCAACAGCCAGGCCGTTTGTGATGATGCGACCCCCAAGTAAGTGAATTAGTCCACACATTCTACCACTTCACTTTCGATCTTTAAACTAGTAATTGCAGTAGACCAGTCCTGGAGCATCATTTTACATTTGACAGGTCCCAGCGAAACGCATGCCAAACATACTCAGATTTCTGCGCAACGTGTCCAGAAGACCCCGCATTTTGTCAGAGTATTCGCCTAACAGCACAATATCGTCTGCATACTACAAGTCAATCAGATGGCCCCCAGGCAGTAGGTTAATCCCTATGAAGCCATACGTACCTAAGGTTACGTCAATAAGCACGTCTGTGACGAGGTTAAATAGGAATGGTAGCAGTGGGCATCCCTGGCGGACACCACTGGTTTTCGTCAACTCAGGTGACAATTCTCCATAAGCTCTTAAACGGCTAAGTGAGTTTGAGTAGAGAGGTTTGATTAATATTATATGCTCACGGTCAGCAGAGTCCAGTGCCGCCTTCACGTCAAGAAATATACCAAGTGTCAGGCTTCGGTAAGTATGCCTGTGTTCCAGAACTTGTCGTAAGGTCTGAAGGTGATCGACTCACCCTCATCCCAGTCCAAAACCTGCCTGGTGTTCTCGAGTTCCAACTGGGGGCGTCGGATAACTATGGATCCTAGGATCTTGAACGCAAACTAATTCCCCTGTCGTTGTTACAGGAAAACTTTCCTCCTTCTTATAACTGGGATGATCAGTGAAGTACACCAGTCTGATGGCACTGCCTCTGACTCCCATACACCACTTAGTAGCTCCATCACTCATCACCAATTTTCTACTTTCGTCCTTGAAAACTTCGAGTGGCAAAATGTCAGGTCTTGCCGCTTTGCATCGTTTCAAGTTCTATGAACTCTCAGGAAAAGTTGGAAGATCGACGTCTACGTCGCATTCAGGTTCAGTTTAGTTGGATGTTGACCAACTGAAGCGTTGCTGGGGATCTGTTGAATTGTGCTTAAGTGTCCTGCCTAACATTCTAGCCTCCTGGCCTAGGAGGTTATCACGGTCCCATCCCTTTTCAGTGATCATCCTGCTCACTATCGTCTTCTTTTCGATATCCTTAATAAGTGTAAATAGTTCCCGAGTGTTACTCACCTCTGATGTCATCTCCATCTCTCTCGATCGCTTTCGTCATCCATTACTGCCGGCGATTAACGCAAAGACTTGCGTTTAAGTTCCTTTCGCTTTTCTTCGTGGTTATAGCCCGTTGGAATTGACCTTCTCGCATCAATCAGTTCGGAAGACGTTGCGGAAATTTAATGACGTTTCCTAACCTTCGGGTGTCGGTTATAAATTGTCTTTACCGCTGTTTCGACAGCAGCTTTGATATCACTCTAGGTTTTTTCAGGATGAGCATAACTGTCACGTTCAGATAAATGATTATCTAACTCCTTTACAAATACGTAATTGGCGTCCATATCAACCAATTGAGCATCGATAGGCCTCTGGCCCGTTTCCTGCGGTCAGTAAGTCACAGACATACACAAACCCATACTAACACGTCATCGGAGTCCGAACTGGTACTCCACCTATTCTCTCCAACGATGGCTTTTGACAACGTGATCTGTGCCGATTGTTGGTTTGAAATCGGCAGACGCTATGTGGAACAGTGTCTCTCCTTATGCCTTAAGTTAGTGCTGGCCAGAAACAAGTGATTGTCGGAGCAAAATTGCAACAGACGATCACCTTTGTCAGTTCGTTGGCATAAAATTCCAGAAATACCCCAAGGATACCTTCCAGTTGAATCAGCAAGCTTCCTTACTTGAGGGTTTAAGCCACCTGCAATTGTGACTACAACTGAACGGTTTGCTTTCCGTAGCAAAATTGATAGCCTTTTATAGAAACCACCCTTTGCATTATCCGCACTGTAGTTGGTGAGTGCGTAGGCATATAATACGAAAAAAACACCGGTTGGTCTCACGAGCCTTCGTAGTCCTTACAGATCCATTCGGTTGAACAGCAGATACACGACTTTTGACTGGAATCCACTCGAAAAGCGCACTTTCTGCTCAACAACTTAGTGCTATGCCTACATCGGCGGGTCCACGAGAGCTAGACATTGGGTCTCCCGATACTTTAGACGAATTTTGGAGATTTATTATTGTGGTCTTGGGCAGGTGAGGTCAATTGAATAACCGCACTCGGGTCCTGTATACGCGCCTCAGAGAAACAGCATGAATCCATGGCTAGAAATTCCAGTTTTGGCCACAGATGCTTTCTGCCTGATTTAGCAAAGAGTTCAGACGTTGAAAGCTCCTACATGAAATCGATGGCGGGATCTTAGGAGCCTAGGAATGAGATATCGATGGCTTTGATCGTTTGCAGTTGTCACAGACCGCAGTTGAGGCTTAATATTAGTATCAGGAGGTAAAGGCCCAGGTGAAGACAGAGTTGAGAAGGACAGGTCATGTTTGATTGGGTCTTGTGCATTACTGGGAGCGTGAGGGCGACTGACACTTGCCGGCTGCTCACACCGTAGAAGGCTGATTCTTCTTAGGTTGCCTGAAATAGAAAAAGATTCGTGTGACCATAGACCTCATGGGACATCACAAACGGCCTTTCTGCAAGTTTGGAATTTCGGCTTTTTTACTTTCGAATCCAACTATGAACTCCTATTGCAAGCATCGGCACCCCACGACGGGTGGAAGTATACTCTTTTGGGGGCAGACTTTTTTAACCCTCCCCCCTCCCATAGAGAAGGCAGCTACAGCGTGGCACTGGTGATCCCCCCCAGTCGGCAGCACGACTTCGCCCTCAGATCCGCATCACAGTGTAGTAAATAACACCTTGATGGTGACTGCTTTCTTTCTAACCGCTATCCAACAAACCTTTCTGGTATGGCACAACCCCAGTTAACAAGGATTTCACCAGCATAACTCTTTGGGTCACTGCGATATACAAGCACAATCACCACGTCAAAGCAGCAGCTACCAGTCGGTGACAACAACAATGACTTGCTTCTTACATCTGAAGTGGTGACCATTCAAATTATCAGAAATGCAATAAGAAAGATGAAATTCATGAGACTTAGATCACATTTAGGTGAAAAGAATTCCTGTCGCTTTGTTGCGTAAACTGACATGTCTTGATATATCCTTTGAAAGGATAGCTGAGAAAAACAAAGCTCTGATACTTTTACGATACTATGGGTCCCTAGACACCTGTCTAAATGTCGCTTAAATTATCGACGCTTCACCCACACCCATGAACCACTCACTGAACCAAACGCAAGATAAGTTGGGATCTAGCAGTCTCCCACCTTCACCTAATGTACAACGGAAGACAGACTAACGCCCTTTTACCCTTTTATTATTTTCGGTCTGAGTAGTGCATATATGCAACTGAATTACATGACCATAACCTGCCAAAATTCATAGAAATGTAATGACTAACTTCACGTACGAATATTGGGATAAGGTAAGGCAATTAGTTCCATTTTATGTGCAATTATTTCGCAACCGCCAATCGTACTAAACTGGATTAGGGGTAAATAAAATTTCTTGAGTTGATCTGTACGGTTTTACTACGAAATAAGTCTTCATTAAAATTTCTTTTGAAATGAATTAAATGATACAAATGATACTTGTGATATTTCACTTCCCATTTGTTCGCAGAGCAACAACAAGATGACTGAGATATATATTGGCAGAAGTCTACAAAAAGAGTTGAGTGAAACATAATCACTACGATATGTTGCAAATGAAGATTCTCGAATCCTTACCACCGACGCCAGTAACAATCAATACGGATGCGATCGAGAAGGCAACGTAAACAAACTGATATGCCGCTAACCTGAGCGGGTAATATGGGATCACTTGTAACAAAATATAACATACATAGATATAAAACGATATGACACCTACCGCATGACTCGCGAACGCCTATGACAAGCTGTGAGTCAATGACTTGACCACACCTCTCATCTTGTATGAGCTTAATAGCACTATCCAGCAGTTTCTGCTTGATGGACTCGTAAATTGTACTGTTCCATGTTTCGAGCATTAGCTAAAATGTAAATAGACCATCAATTTTGAAATACTTTTCTGATAGTACTTTCCTGAAGATGACGTTTGTTCGGACCATTGAGATGCTTCCCAACCAAATAGTTTTCTAGCGGACTGAATGGTTGAGGGAGATATTCGCTCTGTTTAGAAAACTTATTCCATTGAGCAATATAGGATTTTAATAGCGAAGACTCATCCTGATTACGCATTACAAGCTAAGTGACACAAATTAGAGAGTAATGATTACCTGCTGAACCCTCATAATCGACTCTCTAACGGTCTCTGTGAGTGAAGAAATAATAGCTGGTGTTGCTGACTCTTGCCATGATACAATATAATGCACATCACTACGCAAAACATAGTAAAAATGGCTTCTTACGCAAACATATTTTGCCACTCATCTCTACTGACATTCTCAGTATTTAGGATACGCTTTACAATCGTGTTCACCTTTGGCCATCTTTGTTCATAGCAATCCTCATGACACTTATGAAGGTGTATTTCATAAACTAAAAGTTGAATAACTTACATCAACCGCTAGCATTAGAAGTCTCTCGTATCACGCGCCAGTCAAATGACTCTTCCAAGGACTCCAATATCCAATATCTTTTAACGAGCTAGTGTTAACCAATTGATTTCTTCGCGCTCGTTTTTATGTCTTGTGGAACGGTTCCAGGTCTTTGGTGGATTCCAATGCAGTAGGTCTACCCACTCGACTGCTGTATTTGTGGTTAGCCAGACGGGCGGTTGGGTGTTGTTTAGATTTGTAGGGAGTGTTTGTTTGTTTGCTTTTCTTCCGAGGACTGTGGGTTCCTCAGATGTCGTGCCAGCAGACAATTGGTCGGACTGGTTGTAAAAAGGAGATGAAAAGCACGTGCAGAGGAATCAAGGGAGAGAAAGTGCAGAGAGAGACAAAATAGAAAAAAAAAGGAAAAAAGGAAGTAGAGGAATATATAAAAAAAAGTTAGGAAAAAGGAAACGGCATGGAAGAATAAAACATTTGAAGGTTCATGGGGAATAGATGATCGGCAGAGCTTTGGTTAAAGTTTGAGAGCGCAAAGTCAGAAGGAAGAATAATGAATAACATGATAGGACGAATAAGAATATAGTAATTCTTTTAGCAGGAGACGGTAACTGGAGGGGATGTCTTCAGGAAGGTATAAGGTTGAGCCAAGGTCTCAGTGATAGTGGTTTTACAAAGTGTTCAGTAACGGTTGGTCGTACCGAGTTAGTAAGTCGTGTTAGCCTGGCCGACATCCTAGTTGGATGAGCGCAAACCGTGCGTCGCTGCGTAACTGTCCAACCTCTTCTTGAAGCTGTCAACAGACGAAGCAGTAGCGATCTCGGCAGGCAATGCGTTCCAATGGCCGTAGACTCGCAGAGAGAAGAAGTGTGATTGCACACGGGTTTTCGTTCTTTGGTGAGCGATTCTCCTTAGGTTACCACGAGGATTGCTATAGTGGCCGTTCGATAGGATTCCACTGGTCGGATGACCTGGGTTACTGAATATTTTGTCATATTTTTGCCGTCATCAAGTCACCACGTAATCTGCGCTAGCTTAGGGAGTAGAGCCCCAGATCTTTCAGCCTATCCTGATATGGTTTTTGCCTCATTACCACGACACCCTTTGTAGCTCGCCTTTGGACTTTCTCCAGGAGGTTCACGTCTCTTTTCAGATATGGTGGTACAATGACGTTGTGTACCTCCAGATGGGGTCGTATATAGGTCTTATGCAGCTTCAAAAAAGTTCCGGGGTCAGGGTACCCAACCGTCTGCACATGAAATGCAGTACTGCGTAGGCTCTGGAGGCATCTGAATAATTGGGGCTAGTGTCTAGTTTGTCAGTTAGTATCAGCCCTAGGTCTTTCTCTGTGGTGGTGTGGGAGAGTTGTGTTCCGCAGAGAGAATAGGGCACCTTCTGAGAGTTTGGGGTGCGGAGAAACATGGCTCGGCATTTATGTAGGTTAAATACAAGTCCATTAATATCCACCCACTCCGCAAGTAATCTGAGATCACTTTGCAGTACACTTGATTCTGTTTCTGACTTCACAGCTCTCTATAGCTTAACATCATCAGCGTAGAGTAGAATTGGGGAGCTGAGATTCAGTGGGAGGTCGTTCGCAAAACGAAGGAATAGCAGTGGACCAAGAGTCGCCCCTTGTGATACACCGGATGATGATGTCCTCCAAGTAGAGCAAACTCTGTTGGCTTTTGTGCAGAATTGTCTACTGTCTAAGTAGTCCCGCAACCATGAAAGCACTTGTCCCTTGATGCCCAACCTTTCTATTTTGTGAGTAAGAACGGTGTGTGGAACTGTGTCAAAGGCCTTAGTAAAATCCAGGAAACTAACATGAACAGGAATTCGGAGGTCCCAGCATGCCGTCCAATTATCACCTGCAGCCAGAATGTTTGTGGCACAGGACATACCCTTTCTGAAACCATGTTGAGCACCACTAAGTGCTCCCTGACATGGTCATCTACCGGGCTGTCCATTGCTTTTGACACCACTGGTAGAAGGGCTATGAGTCGGTAGCATTTTGGGTTCTGCATGTCTCCACCTTTGAAGATGGGGGACAGGTTAGCACTTCTCCACTCTTGTGGAAGCATGTGATTGTCTAGGGAGTGTTGAAACAAGTTACACAGCGGACCACACAAGACACCCGCGCATTGTTTCAGCACAACCGGTCGGATGTCATCACACCCTGGTGATTTCCATGCGCGAAGCTTTGACAGTTTTCGAGGACCATAGCGGGAGTTACCTTTATTCCAGGTAGCTCAACAGCGTTTGGTGGTGCTGAATTTCTGTCGGACAGTTGATAATTTGGTTCGATAGGGACGTACTGAGTTGCGTATCGAAGGTGGCACTAAGGGCTTCGACTATCTCTAGTCCGGAGGGGTTCTCTCCATCTAAGCCTTTCAGGATGCAGGCCCCCTGGCTGGTGGATTTTCTGCCTGCCATAAACCATATATACTTTTCTGATAGTACTTTCCTGAAGATGACGTTTGTTCGGACCATTGAGATGCTTCCCAACCAAATAGTTTTCTAGCGGACTGAATGGTTGAGGGAGATATTCGCTCTGTTTAGAAAACTTATTCCATTGAGCAATATAGGATTTTAATAGCGAAGACTCATCCTGATTACGCATTACAAGCTAAGTGACACAAATTAGAGAGTAATGATTACCTGCTGAACCCTCATAATCGACTCTCTAACGGTCTCTGTGAGTGAAGAAATAATAGCTGGTGTTGCTGACTCTTGCCATGATACAATATAATGCACATCACTACGCAAAACATAGTAAAAATGGCTTCTTACGCAAACATATTTTGCCACTCATCTCTACTGACATTCTCAGTATTTAGGATACGCTTTACAATCGTGTTCACCTTTGGCCATCTTTGTTCATAGCAATCCTCATGACACTTATGAAGGTGTATTTCATAAACTAAAAGTTGAATAACTTACATCAACTGCTAGCATTAGAAGTCTCTCGTATCACGTGCCAGTCAAATTATTCTTTAAGGACTCACTAAATAACCTATACTGATGGGATTGAAATCGCAGTTATAATACAGTCCGTATCTAGCATACATCCTCTGTTTAACAAGCGATTTCTGTAAACGAAATGTAGGTCTTGGGACTTTTATTGGAAAAAGACAAATGAATGAAATTTGGAAGTTGTTTCAATCGGGATTTCACTTTCAGTACATGACGACAATACATGCTATTATTTGCAACATTCTCTTGTGTTTCTCAAATGTTTAATGCTCATCAGCGATGCGAGATCTTCGGCAAAAATTGGGGGAATAATTGTCTACTGAGATTTTAAATAACCTGAATAGATTTCAATGCATGGCATATACATTTACAAAGTTTATCGTCCTTTGCCCAATACATTTTCAGGCGACGATTTCAAGTGAAATTATTTAGACGGTACGCAC